ATTCTAAACACTTAAACACTATAAATTTTTTCAGTATTTACCTTAAAACCAACCACATTTCAGAAGCTTATATTTCAAGAATTAATATTCAGTGGAAAACATTTCATTCTCAACACTAAAACACAATATGTTTCTTCAGTATTTTGCCTTAAATAATTCTTAAATAATGCATACATCATTCTTCTTTTCCATGAGGTACATTCTTGTGACCATATGTTTTTTCTGTTAAATACATGTGTCTCTTCTTTAGAGGTTATGCACTTAGAGATAACTAACTGTAAGTTTATACTATATATGTGTGTATGATATCAAGTAAATAAAGCAGTGTTTTGTGTACATATATTAACATATTAAATGTGTGTGCATATTAAGTTATTAATAGTATAAGGGGTAATTCAATAATAAATCTATTCTGGATATTTTTTTTAAACTCTTAAGTATAGTAAATAGATACAGAGAAAATACATATCTTCAAAGTATAAACATATTTGCTTTTATTTCAAATAATTAGTTCCTTCTTTATGCATTTTAGAATGTTTTAGAGTAATTTTATGTTTTCCTTTTTTTAAACTTCTGGGATAAATGTTTGGTTATTTTCATTATTTTGTTTGATATTTTATTCATAGTTGCAATTAGCTGTAATGCTGGTGTTTTGTAATTCATTATTTTCTTTGAAATCATCATTGTAGTTACTAATGTTATTAGTATCCTTTTTTAAGCCCACTATTTAAAATATACAGACAAAAGTCTTTAATCCTCACTCGTCGGACTTCCGCGATTCCGGATTATCTGTTTTTCCGGATTACAGATCATCAGTTTAAATCTGGTAAGATGGCATGCAGAAATTATAAAATTAAAAATATGAAACCATAATTTATGAAATAAAGAGCAATTATGATCTAAACTTTATCAAAATATACAAAAAAGCGCCTAATATTTATTTGTTTACTTTATTAAACATTTCTTTCAACACACGCATGCGTAAAGCATACATTACACATAGTCGAAATTAGAATATTGCAACTAGAAAACTATTTGACGTGTATTCGTGATATTTATAATGACGAGGAATTTTATTTAAATCATATCAAAGACAGAGTACATAGAGATGAAAAGCTATATTTAGTAAGGAATTATAAGCCGAATAAAATAAAAACATCTACCCTGAAGATAAGGATAGTGCTGACAGATGAATTTCCAGTTCATTGCGCGCCGCCGCCGTCCCCCCCCCCCAGAGTAGTGTGAAATTTATAAACAGATTTCGGAATGGTTAGAGAAACAAAGGATATGCCTTTATCCATTTTTTGCAGCAATTCCACTTTTTGTTTGATGGACATCAAAACATGCTTTCGTTTTGTAGATCCTTTGGCAGCTCCAGAATCAGAAACTCTTTTTGACATAATCGAAAGTTCAAGCTCACTTTTATAAAATTGCTCTAACAGTCTGCAAAAAATAATAAGCCAGATCCAATTAGAAGATTAAGGAACAACGCAATCTGCAACATTAACTGAAATAGATAATTTTAGCTTAGCTTATACCATCCGTTATACATTAAATGTGCATGCATAAATGTATTATGCACATGCATAAAATTATGCGTTCACGCATGGGCAGAAAGGTTGTAGCTTTGAGGTCCGGATTAAAGACTTTTGACTGTATGTAAATATAGTTCAGAAAACTGGCTAAATTGCTATGCCAATCCATTGCACTACATTCAGCATGTTTACTGTTTTTTAGATCCTGCTCAATCACATGCAAAAGAGCTCAAGAAATAAATCTTAGATTTTATTTATTTATTTATTTGTATGCAACCTTGCACACTTTGAATATACAGTCAAAAGTCATTAATCTGGACTCGTCGGGACTTCGGCAATTCCGGATTATAGATCATCAGTAAATCTGGTAAGATGGCAATGCAGAAATTATAAAATTAAAAATATGAAACCATAATTTATGAAATAAAGAACAATTATGATCTAAAGGGTATCAAAATTTACAAAAAAAAGCTTAATATTTATTTGTTTACTTTATTAAACATTTCTTTCAATGTAAGTTATTTAAGTTGCTTCGTTTTATGTGATAATACTTTCTCTTTAATTCTATAAACAGACATAATTTCTTCTTCAGTTACAATGTTCCGCTGTTCAAGTACTATAATTGCTGTGTCGAGAATACGGACTAATTTTAATTTGTCAATCGAAATTTTTTCGTTTTCAATAACCTCTGTGTCACTTTCTTCACTATAGGAAGCAAATTATAATGACGAGGAATTTGATTTAAATCATATCAAAGACAGAGTACATCGAGAGAAATACTACATTTAGTAAGGAATTATAAGCCAAATAAAATAAAAAACATCTGCCCTGAAGATAAGGATAGTGATGACAGATCAACTTCCAATTCATTGCGCGCCGCGGCGTTCTCCCCTTCCGCCGCAGAGCAGCGTGAAATTGATAAACGGATTTCGGAATGGTTAGAGAAACGAAGGATGTGCCTTTATCCATTTTTTGCAGCAATGCCACTTTTTGTTTAATGGACTTCAAAACATACTTTCGCTTTGTAGATCCTTTACGTATTAGTAAATATATATCGGAAATTCTATTTGACATAATCGAAAGTTCAAGCTTACTTTTATAAAATTGCTCTAACAGTCTGCAAAAAATAATAAGCCAGATCCAATTAGAAGATTAAGGAACAACGCAATCTGTAACATTAACTGAAATAGATAATTTTAGCTTAGCTTATACCATCCGTTATACATTAAACGTGCATGCGTAAATGTATTAGGCACATGCATAAAATTATGCGTTCACGCATGGGCAGAAAGGTTGTAGCTTTGAGGTCCGGATTATGGACGTCCGAATTAAAGACTTTTGACTGTATGTAAATATAGTTCAGAAAACTGGCTAAATTACTATGCCAATCCTTTGCACTACATTCAGTATGTTTACTGTTTTTTAGATCCTGCTCAATCACATGCAGAAGAGCTCAAGAAATAAATCTTAGATTTTATTCATTTATTTATTTGTATGCAAACTTGCACACTTTGAATATACAGTCAAAAGTCATTAATCCGGACTCGTCGGGACTTCGGCGATTCTGGATTATAGATCATCAGTTTAAATCTGGTAAGATGGCATGCAGAAATTATAAAATTAAAAATATGAAACAGTAATTTATGAAATAAAGAACAATTATGATCTAAAGGGTATCAAAATTTACAAAAAAAAAAAGCTTAATATTTATTTGTTTACTTTATTAAACATTTCTTTCAATGTAAGTTGTTTAAGTTGCTTCGTTTTATGTGATAATACTTTCTCTTTAATTCTATAAACAGACATAATTTCTTCTTCAGTTACAATGTTCCGCTGTTCAAGTCCTATAATTGCTGTGTCGAGAATACGGACTAATTTTAATTTGTCAATCGAAATTTTTTCGTTTTCAATAACGTCTGTGTCACTTTCTTCACTATAGGAAGCGAATTATAATTACGAGGAATTTGATTTAAATCATATCAAAGACAGAGTACATCGAGATGAAATACTACATTTAGTAAGGAATTATAAGCCAAATAAAATAAAAACATCTGCCCTGAAGATAAGGATAGTGATGACAGATCAACTTCCAATTCATTGCGCGCCGTGGCGTTCTCCCCTTCCGCTGCAGAGCAGCGTGAAATTGATAAACAGATTTCGGAATGGTTAGAGAAACGAAGGATGCGCCTTTATCCATTTTTTGCAGCAATTCCACTTTTTGTTTAATGGACTTCAAAACATACTTTCGCTTTGTAGATCCTTTACGTATTAGTAAATATATATCAGAAATTCTATTTGACATAATTGAAAGTTCAAGCTTAATTTTAAAAAATTGCTCTAACAGTCTGCAAAAAATAATAAGCCGGATCCAATTCGAAGATTAAGGAACAACGCAATCTGCAACATTAACTGAATTAGATAATTTTAGCTTAGCTTATACCGTCTGTTATACATTAAACACGCATGCGTAAACGTATTATGGGCATGCGCACACGCATATTTGCAGCTGTGAAAGTCTTACGCGCATGCGTCAATGAGACGCATGCGCAGAACGTTTGTAGCTTTGAGGTCCGGATTATAGATCATTCCGGATTATGGGTGTCCGAATTAATGACTTTTGACTGTATCGAAGCAGGAAAAAATGTGCAATGCTGTTGCTGGGATTGGGGACTCCCAAAAATATGTTGAGCGTCTTCCAGTTACACCATGGAGGCATGCGGAAAAGAGGGAGAAAATATGTTATACACTCCCCCGTTTTAAAGGACACTGCACATGAGGGAACTCAATCACCAAATCCTGATGGTGAGGCACTATCATCCACCTTCTTTAGTTCAATTGCCACTTGTAGAGACCTTTTAGAATTTTGTGAAGCCAAGAAATTAAGGAAGTTTGCAATGCCTTCACTGGGATTTGAGCTCTGGACCTCCCAAATACGCATCAACTCCGCTTCCAGTTATATCTCAAAGGCAAGCGGAAAGGCGGAAGAAAATATCTGATACCATGTGCTTGATTTTTATTGCTAATGTTTCTGTCTGACAAGGTTTCTTGTGTATGTTAGAATTTAGTACCTTCTAAAAATGATGGCCTATGGTATTCTGCAATAATGCTTTTATTGTTTAGAAAATTAAATTGTCCACATTTTGTATAGTTTTGTGCAGATTTATAGTTTTATATAGTTTTCATAACTTCATTGCTTTTCCTTTGTTATCATAACTCCATTTATTTTTGATTAAGTTTCTGTATGAAACTGGTGAAGACTGGTTTCTTTTTCCTTCTATCATTGAAATTTTCTATGGCTGTTTGCTGAAGGATTTTTATAAATCCTCTTATTTGCAACATTCAGCTTGAAAATTTCTTTAGTTTCTTTCTAAGGAATAGAACTCAAATCATTGTAATGTTTTAAATTCAGGTGTAATATTACTTATTCTTAATTTATTTATTTTGTATTATTATTTTATGTTTCAGATAAGAAAAAGCAGGCCCAAAATGGAAAAGGAAAACATCAAAGGTAGCAATATTTATAATGTGCATTATGTATTATTTCTACCTTTACTTAAAAAAGGTAATTTTTTTGTTTTTCAACATTAGATTAAATCAGTGATTATGCCTAAACACTGGGGTTAATCAAAGACTAATTCGAAAGATCTTAATACAGTAAATATTAAAAATAACCTGCCAGGGGATGTTCTATAACAGGGGTTGCCAAGCTCCTTGATAGTCTAAGCCATTTTTCAAAATTTGAAATTTTTCGCAAGCCGCAGTTAAATACGTATTTAAAAGGTATGTAATAAAGGTATTAAAAAAATTTTTTTACAGAAATTATATTTATTAAAAACATGTAAATAAAAGTACAAAATATGTGTATTTCGGTAATTCTTTGAGATGCTGGTTAGTTAATACTGATCGATGTTTAAATTTTGCGAATTTTAAAGTGGAATAAAATGATTCACATAAGTTCGTTGTTCTGAATATTGAAATAATTCGACAAGCAGCCTTCAGGATATTTCGATTCTGGTACAAATTTCCAAAATTCAGTAATTGGTGTTGATTTATAGTTTAATTGTAGAGCTTGATCTTCCTGCATCTGTATTAATTCTAATTTTCCAGATGTGTTTTGGGTCGTAATTATCTTGGAAATGGAAAACTCACCTTGAATTATGTTAATTTCAAATGGATTCAGAAAAAAATTAAGAGGCGATGGACGGAAATGAAATTTGTTACAATGTTGCACTTAATCTTTCATATTTGTTGTCTGTAATTTAAAAGACATTTTGTAACACATATGGAGCAATAATAATTTTTTTAAATATAATAACACAAAAATGAAAAGGGAACTGGGTACATTTATCGAGAGCCACAAATAATCCTTCAAAGAGCTAGGTTTGCCATCCCTGTTCTGTAAGGTGTTAAATTAATATACTGCTTTAAACACAATAAGGATAGCATACACAGTATTTTTGCCTAAATTTCATTATGTAGATTTAAATCTGTAAAATTATTTATTTTTTAACTATCCCTTTCATCTCTTGTCAAATGTACTGCACTGCTTGTTTCTGTAGTATATTTATTGATTTCTAATTCTGTTAAAAATAATTGTGCATTGAAATAAAGGGAAAATGTTATTGTTCTAAATTTCGGTTTAAGTAAAATAAATAGGCATGTTTTATATACTATCTATTATTTCTTAAAATGATAACTGATATCATTATCATTGATAAAGTACAAATTGGTCAGAAAGATTATTTCTGAACACTCTGTTTCATAGGCATATTTAGCATTTTCTCTATTTTATTTATATCTCTGTCTTATTTTTATTTTTCGACTTCAAATCTAATTTTATAATATATAATAGTAGTCTTGAGTGAAACAGGTATGTGAATCATTTAAATAAATTACTCAAAGATGAACTTAATTTAAATTAATTATATGTAGTTTAGAGGTAATTAAAATGAATGTTAATAAAAGGAAATGTATTAATTTTTTTCTTTCAATTGTATTTAATGCAGTTTTGTTTCTCAAAAAAAAAAAAAAAAAAAAAAAGATACTGAAGTTATGCTTTAGTAGTGTTTCACAGATTAGTATAGTTTACAATCTTTTCTGAATAATTATGTCACTCTTTTTCTGTCTCTCCCTCTTCTGCTACTGAAAAATACAGAAGGTGACAAAAATGTAATACCTACACATTAATTTTTATGATTTTTCAGATTTGATTATATGTCCAATTTTCAGTACTACTGTCCTAGATCTAAATTGTCTCAAAGCTGTAAAATATCCTGTTGACCATCCAAAATGCAACACGAAGAAAAACGAGAAATATGAATTTTTTTTTCATATTTCTTGTTTTATATCTTTTTTTTCCACCAAATTTGATTTGAAATAAAGCCTTCTTTGAGGTGAGGAACATGGGAAAATCAGTAATGAGTGTTGCTTCCACATTTGTTGTTAATAGTCTCTGCTACATGATGTGGCTTTGGATGTGTTGTTGGCGAATTGCAGCCCATTCAGCCTTCACAGAGCAAAAGTTCATCTGGAGTACCCATGGATGTGGCATGCTGGGCTAAGCATTCTGCAGTCATTGACCAGATGTGTTTGTTGGGCAATATATCTGGAAAATAGGTTGGCCAGAGTAACAATGTATTATGGTGGATTAAGAAGAAAACTCTAAGAAGGATTATTTGCTCATTGTTCTGTTGAAATGTGGCCACAGGCAAGCCCTTAAAGAGTACAGAATGCAAAATCTCAGAGATATAGCATTGGCTGATAAGTATGCCAATAATGTGTACTAGGGGGATGTGGGAGTGGAATCCAATATCACCCCACACCATAACACTAGGTGCAGGACCAGTATGATGATGCATAACACAACAATCAAGCAGCCTTTTTTCATGGTGTCTTCAAACTGTGTTCTGACTGTCATGGTTTTGCAGGCAGAAGCATGATTCATCCAAAAACAGTGTCATGCCATATGGATATCTGTCTGCGCTGTACAGTGCACCATTACAAACACATGCATCTGTTTTAAGGTAAGCAAAGCAGTGGACACCTAGCAGACAGTCCATTGTACTGTAAACAACGTCAAATTGTTTGTGCTGGCATTGCTTATTAGGTTACAGACTGCATTCATTGTGATATGGGTTGAGGATGTGGCAGTATGTTCCATAAGTGCCATGTCCACAATATTCCTGTCTTCCCATGGAGTGGTGTGATGAGGTATTTGCAATTGATTGTGTCTACCAGTCATTCCCTTCTCCATGCACCGACTCCATATTCCCATAACTATTACTTGCCTCTGTCCGACATGATGACCTATTTCCTGGAAGAATAATCTGCAATCTCTGTATGCAACAATTATGCCTTGTTTGAACTTAGAAGCTTGCTCAAGTTGTGCTTGTGTTTTTCTTAAAGGCATACCGAAACTGCACACAAAAAACAAATCTCATGAGAGAGCAACTCATGTTATTTAAAATGGCAATCTTTCCTCCCTTTATATATGAGTTGTAAGGAGCGCTGCAGCATTCATGATATGCGCTAAAATTGTAATCATTTGTGTATACCAGAACAGTATACACGTGATACAAGTTTCATGTTGTTTGGATGCTTCCTTCGTGGCATTGCATTTTCGATGGCCAGCAGTTTATTATTGAAATTAAGAAGAGAAGAGCACTTTTATTTTTCTGAAAGCTTGCTTCTTTGAAAATTGGTTGAATTAAATCTTGAACATTTGAGTCAAGTATAAAAGATTTAGTTAAATGAATCTTTATCAGCCGATATTAATTAGTCTTTTTTACTAGTTAAATGAGTAACATTTATTTTAGTTATACCTTTTTTTGCTGTCATTAGCAATTACTATTCTAAGTTTATTAACTAACTTCATAATTAATGCCTATAATGCAGCTTCTTTTTTTTTTTTTTTTTTTTTTTTTTTTTTTTTTTTTTTTTACCTTTCCTAGATCCATTCCTAGCAAAAACAGAATCTCTTAAATTCAGTTTAGTGGCCCCATGTTGGTTGCCACATAAAATTTGTGACATTTTAAAACTAAATTGAAAGTAATAAATTTGTCTACCCTTTCCTTGTAGAACATGCACTATTTCTAGGTTAAATGTTATACTGGTATTTTTTTCTTCTAAAGAATACTAATCCAGTGATGAGTATAGCATTTAATGTCAGCAATTTTTGGCATATATTACATGAAGAATTAAAAACATTACTAGATACTATTGCGTTTTACAATATTTAGTTCTTGGGAATGAAACTTTGAAAGGCACAATGCAGCATACAAAGGCTTTTTGCTTTTCAAGTGATCTGCTCAGAGTAAAAAAAAAATGTGCAGTTCTCTCGCAGTTATGTTGTAGAATCATTAGGTTATTTTTATGCAGAAGACTTAAAAAATGAGCAATGCCCTCGCTGAGACTCGAACCTCAATTCTCGAATATGTGCGGAGTGTGCTACAGTTACACCATGAAGGCATGCAGAAAGGAGGAAGGAAATACCTTATATACTACCCCTTTTAAAGGGTGACTGGGGATTAGGGGACACAATCACCAAATCCTGGTGGGGAAGAATTGTCATCCAGCACCTTTTAATTCGGGCGCCACTGTAGAGTCATTAGGTTATTTTTATGCTGGAGACTTGAAAAATGAGTATTGCCCTCACCGAGCCTCGAGCTTGGACTTCTTGAATACATGCCGACCGTGCTACCATTACACCACGAAGGCATGCAGAAAGAAGGCAGAAAATACCTTATAATGTCACAGTATATCTGGTGGTAAGGTCTCTTAAATCATGAAGTGTGCAATGTTATGACGGGGTATATGATCTTTGTTGATGATAGATTGCCTCAAACTTCACAAATGCATTATGTTTGCCAATCTCAACTATCAGAAGTGTATTCCCCATTTTAAATACCCTGACTTGGGAGTTGCAAAATATTACGTATCACAACGTGTTTTTTTTTTTTTTTTTTTTTTTTTTTTTTTTTTACATGCTTGCCTATCCTTGAAAATTTTATTGTGATTATCATCAACTTTCTCTTTCTTGTGAATTCAAAAATGCATGTTCTAGATTTTCACTTTCAATTTTCTGTGCAGCAATCAGTACTATATTACACATACCATATAGGAAAATTATAATCATTGACATCATTTTAATAAGAATCATATGTCAAACTTTTTTCCCATTTTTATCACAAAAATAAAATTACATCCTAAAATTTTACTGTCCAAAAAACTTTCATACTCTGTTTATATTTCTTGGTCGTATAATTAGATTTTTTTAACATTTCCATAATATTAACTTATTGTGGACATGTATCATTTTATATTTGTCTGCTTGATTGAAGTAGTATATTTAACTTTTTTGTAGATTTAAGAAAGATCAGAAGAATTTGTTCACTTTTCGAAAGCATATAGGAGTAGTGGCAGAAAATAAACTAACTGATGCTATGCAAGTCTTTCCATTTTGTGCTTCTGTAGAACATGAGGTATTAAAGAGCAATGTTTTTTTTAAATTTATATATAAAATTGATATGTGTGTGTTTTCTTAATGAATAATTAAAAAATGACTCTTCATGCAAGCTTATGTAAAGTTTTAAGTGTTAAAGCAGTTACTTTTCTAATTTCTTTTGCAAATGCATTATAAAGCTTTGTTTTTTCTTGTATGTATCACGTTAGATGCTGCAAGTTATCTATTTCAATTATTTTGAATGTACTGAGGTATAAAATACAATGGTTTTCTGACAGATAATTTAGATATGAATATCTCATTTTGGATGCATTATTTATATTTAAAATTACCCCCCCCTCCAAAAAAAACTTTAGATTGGCATATAATGTGAACAAAACATTCTGTTCGTTTCAAGGGGGATCAGTCATAGAACCCTCTCCTTCAGGGGGAAAAAAAATCCCTCCTATGACAAATAGTTCTTGCCACAATCAGTCAACCAGTTTCCATTGTTTTTCATACAGCAGAAAATATAATGTTTCCTTTGATGTTGTATGCTAAGATCATCAACATACCATGTGAACTCTCAGGTTTTCCAGTATGTAGTTTTTTAATTTCTGCTGTAGCCTACATTTCCCTTGTAATCTATCCTTCCTCTCTTCCTTCTGCAGTTTTTACTTCCAACATCTGCTTCCTTTTCTTTAGCAGTTGCTGATCTTCCTGCAGCCTTTCTTCTATGACATAAGATTCTCAATGAAACTTTCTTCATGTTTTGTATGTTCATAATTATTTTCTTTAAGGAGCATACCATTTTGATACGAGCTCTGATATCTTCTATGGCACTAAAACTCGTGTGAGATCTATTCTAAACAGTTTCTATAATATCTTTTGTTTGGAGGGAGTATGTGTATCTGATATAATTTAGATGTTGTTGACATGTAGATGCATAAATATAGTAGCAGTAATTAAGGCCAACTGAACATTTCTTTTATAATTTTTATGCAGCCATAAATAAACTGGTGCAAAAAGCATGCCTGTTCCTGAAGAATTGCATCAGTATCTTTTAGACTTTTAAACAGATTTTAATACAGATCGAGAAGCAGGTGTTAGCACGTTGACAGCAACAAAGTGATAAAGACAGTGCGACCTAAGATGAACACCTAACTCAGAATGATTAAGTTCCAATTTAGTTTTATTTTGATTAATTAATATTAAATTTCATATCCAGAATTTAAAATTATTATTGGCTGAAGCATTGTATAAGCATCTGTATCATTAGTATATGCAAGAATCATATAACATGGATTAATTTTAAAATGATGCAGTTTAGAGTGATTTATTATAAGCAGTTACTGTTTGTAGGATGGAAAGAAGAAATAACAAAATTAAAATAAGAGTTAATGGACTATTGAAAATTAAAGTTAAAATTTTGATTTATATATTTTTTTATCTTACATATCCCCACCCTTCAAAGAGGGGGAGGAAAGCTTTGCAGATAAACAACTGAAACTCATATATTAAGAATTTTTTCTTTAACACAAAATCGTTATGTATTAAACATAATCATATAAATACATTTATATTTAAAATATTTCTTTTATATTTTTGGAATGTCATTTGCTTTAACATGTTTCTCTTCATTATTCCTGAAATTTATGTATTATCATTATTTCCTAGTGTGTAACAAAATTTTATTCATGGAAAGTTTAAATACTGTTGACCTAATGCCAAACACTCATCGAAAGTAATTTTTGCTTCCTCATTATCAGACTTAGGTATCTGAATTTTCATCAACTGAGTTTCATGCATATGAAATAATTCCGTTATCAGTCAATTGCTGTGTAATAGAAGCCTGAACTTCAAAAGTCATCCTAATTCTAAAAATAAATAATAATATAATAATAAATTCTAATAATAAATAAAGAAATTCTAAAATATTTTCTTCTTTTAAAAGTTCAGGCAAATTGGTAATTCCATTATTTGGCAAACAAGTGCAATTCTAGTGATTTTGCTTATAATACAGGGTAAGTCAAAATGAAAATAGCGGTTACAAACAACTATAACTATTTAATAGAAAAGAGTTTATCGATAAAAGTAACACAGAATGTAGACAGAACTACAAAATATGATAAAAATTAATTTACTAAAGAAATAATAATTATTATAATAAACACATTTGTAACGTGCTTGTTTCGGTGACTGAAGAAATGCTTCAGAATGTATGGCGTGAAATGGACTACCACCTAAATGTTGTCCATGTGACCAAAGAAAGTCACATAGAACATCTATGACGTATGTATGCAAAATTTTGAAGTTCCCTCTACATGTGTTAATCTTAGCGGTAATTAAGTCAATTAGGATACAATCACACCACTCACCCGAAAATATAGAAAATCAAGAGTTCAATTCCTCAATTCTAATGAGAATGCACTAGCGAAGTAAGCACTGCGGTTTTATATAATTTCTGAGTAAGCTGTTCGTACGACTTGAACTAATTCTTGCATTTAAACTTGTATTCCAAATTCAGATTTAACTTGAAATTAATGTAGATAATTACTGAGAGAGTTAGCTTCTTGTAACGTAGTTTACGTGAGATGAGATCACTTGGGGTCACGTGATATAAACCGGCGAATCAGGATGCTGAACCATGAAAGCATAGTAAATTCTTAAATTAATGTCTTTATTTATTCTCTTTTTACAAAATTTTAAACGATATTAAAATGTTTATACCTTCAAAATAAAAAATTCTTAGAACCATTCAAATGTTAATTTGTTAACATTTTTTATGTGTATATTGTATGTTGTTGGCAATAAAGTTTGCTTGGCAAGATTTGCGCCGGCGAAACGGAAAAGTACCAATAGTACTTTACCTACCACCTATGTATTTCTCTCGCCTTCTTAGCATGCCTTCATAGTGTAGTGGTTTGCACGCAGGGCGCGTGTTCCAGAGGTCGATGGTTTGACTCCCGGCAAGCGTGTTGCTCATTTTTCATCTCTCCTGCTTCCAAAATACCTAATGACTCTACAATGGCGCCCGAACTAAATAAAGTGGTGGATGAGGATTCTCCATTACTCCTTCGTAGTGTAGTGGTTTGCCCGCTGAGCGCGTATTCCAGAGGTCCGTGGTTCGATTTCCGGCGAGGGCGTTGCTCATTTTTCGTCACTCCCGTTTCCAAAATACCTAATGTCTCTATACATTGTTCTCCTGAAACTCTATAAAAGATAAATTCGTTTTCAATAAATAGTTATAGCCATTTATAATCGTTATATTCATTTTGACTTGCCCTGTAATTTCTTCTTATTCCTTTTAGTATCATGAATAGTTCTACTGCTGATTGCAAATGTATAAGTTAATCATTTCATTGATGATCTATTTTGCAGTTTCTGAATGATCTTAATTTTCTTCCAGAATCGCTTTGTTCAGAACTACCAGTAAATTTACCCTGCAGTTGTTTACAAGCCACTTTCAAGATATTAAGGAATAAAATAATTCAATAGCTACTAAATCATAAAAGTGCATTCTCTTATTGATGTAAAGTTTCCCTAAAATTAATCCCTGCACTACTTCTTCAGTATGTTCAATGCATATGCATTTTAAGTAATTAAGAAAATCCCTAAAATTGAAATTTTGGATTTGGTTTTCGCCTGTTTGTCTGCGAAGAAAATCTCGTCAATTGCTCTTTTTAAGTATCTGTTTTTATTTGCATTGCACTGATTATAAAGAAACAGTTCTGATAAGGCTTAACACTGCATTATTATTATTTATAATAATAATAACAAGTTTAAAGATTAAAAAAAAAGAAGGAACAAATAAATTCTTTATGCATATTTACCATAGAAGTTCAAATTTAATTTTAAAAGACAGCATAATATGCATCCAAAAGTAGAATTGTTTTCCTAAGCAAAAGATTAAAGGAAATTCATTACCTCATCATTGTGCAATAATAACAGTAACAATAAAAAGTGTCACTGTGCATTAATTTTAATGCAATATACATTTGTTAAAAAATTCATTTGCATATATGTATGACTAAAACTGCAGATAAATTTTCACCCAGTGTTGAATTTGCAAATTGAAATCTTGGTTGTTTACAATATAAAATGTGCAGGTTACAGGCATTTTACTGGAATTCTATTGTATGCTGAGTTTTTTTGGTTCACTTGACTGTTATTCATTTTCAGATAATTAAATCCTGGAAGACTGATAACAATTTGCTGCATAATCACATGTATTTAATACTTCTGTTTTTAATGTATAAAAGAAAATTCTCTTTCAAAATACTTCAAAATATCTTTGCAGTCTTATCTATCTTTATAAATCTTTGCTAAAACTGTTACCTTTTGACTGTTTCAAGTAAAATATTTATATTATACTACCTTTACTTTTATTCATAAAATATAAATATTTCAATTTAATCTGCTTTAGTGTCAATTGAAATAAAAATTAATATAGTTTTGATACAATGTTATCATGAAACAAGTTCTTTGGCTCCTGGTCTTATAGCTAAAATGGCACTAGAATTTATGCATTAACTTAATACAGAATTAATTAACCAATGAAGTACAGATCTTATTTTGTGTCATTAAGATTTACAACAATTTAAATAACTAATAATAATGCTTTACTATTTCAAATATACATTTATAAAAGAAATCTTTTTTTTAACTATATATATATATATATGCAGCTTAAGTGTTTGTCGCCGATAGTTTATAGTTGCTTGCGTAACTGTAAATTGTTTTATTCTCCGTGCAGCGCAGCGTGGGATGAATATTATGAGAAAGCTAAGCCAGAAAAATTTAAAATACAAGAGCACATGCATTCAACATTTAATAAATAAATTTAAGATCTATATATAATAGAATTTGAAAATATGCAACCGGCAATGATGAAAAAACAAATAAAATGAAATAAATAAATATCTTTATTATATGCGGCTTAAGTGTCTGTTTGTCACCGATAGTTTATGGGTTGCTTACGTAATTGTATTAGCCAGTGGGGTGAAGTTGCCATGGCACAGGGTTGCCGTTTCAGTTGAGACGTAGACAATTTCCTGTAAAACTTGCCTTTGCTATGACCGTCAATAAGTGCCAAACGCTTAAGCGTGTTAGCATTTTTTTACCTGAACCTGCATTTGGACACGGCCAGATTTATGTTGCCTATTCAAGAGTTCGTGAAAGAACAGACGTAAAATTAAAAATAATGGATGGTCCTCTGCAAAGCGAGCTTAAAAATGATGGAAAGATCTACACAAGAAATGCTATGTACAAAGAGATCTTTGATATGTGAATTAACATTTTATGATTTAAATCACCTTTATTTATTGAGCTAGTGGTGGCTATTAAGAAATGTACCGCCAGTGGTTTCCTTCATTGCACTCTACTTTAAGCAATTAAGCAAGTAGAAGGGGAAATCCAGTGGGGCAGTAAACAAAGGGATGTCCTCGCCGCCTGCCTTGGGTAATTCAGTTTGAATTAGCAGACACCTTTGCACAAATCATTTTAATTACAATTTATAATATCTAGAACAGCGGTCATTTCGTATGACCACCGAGCTTTCTAGTATTATATAATTTGGCTGTTTAGTTGTTCATGCTATATAATGCTAAACTCTTAAAAAATTAATTACGATGTAAAAAAAAAGTTTTTATATGCTATGAAATTTTAATTAATATTTTAGTTTTTTAACCTTTTATTTTTGTTATTTATATTAAAATTTTGTATTTTTAATATTTTGATCTACAAATTGAATATTGCCCATATATACCACATATGTATAGTGTTACATTTGTAAAAATTGCAATTATATTTGTGCATTTTAAAAGTAATTAAATTTGTTGTGCATCTAATTATCAATTTATTATTTTTATTCACAGAACTTCTGTAGTGATGTAGTGACTGAAGCTGATTCACAAATTTTAGAACCTCTAGTAGCATTTGAAAATTTTTCTGACGAATGGAAGTCCATGGCAAATCTTATAATGCAGGTGCTTTGCTTTTCAAAATGTTTTGCAGAAATTTATAAAATGATTTTCCTTTTTGAATTGCTTGTAATTATTTTGACCATTTTTAATACTTTCATACTACAGGGTTCGTAGCGGTCCTTATAAGTGCTCATAAGTCCTTATATTTGAAAATAAAATTAAAAGTCCTTATAGGTACTTACTTTTTCTTTAAAGCCCTTATTTTTTTGTTTTTAGTGCTTATTTTTTGCTTTTAGTGCTTTTTTTTAATGAACGTGCTATTTTTCCCCTTTCCAAAGCCGAAACTAAATAAACAACTTTTCTTCCTAATATGAAATGTCAGATGGTGAATCATACTCCCAGCCCAGAATAACTTTTTGCCCCTTTCTCTGCATTAACATAACCTTTCGGTGCGCACGAAGAGTACAGACAGGTGCCTGTCGTTCTATTGGTCAAAGAATTGCGAAAAGTGGTAGAAAATTCTAGTACATTCTGTATTCTTTTTGCTCTCCAGCCCAATACTTACACACGTTTGAATTTTTATCAAAATATTTAATTAATTTGCATTTTCTCATTCCGACTTGGTCACTTCATATTCGTGTTTATTATGATCATTATGCTTATAATATGAACATATGTATGAATGTTTATAATAACATAGTTGCAGTAACTGCTGAAGTAAAGTAAACTTCCAAAAAAGGTTGTGTTTTGACACAGATTAGCTTTCTAAGGAATAATATTCAGAATGGATTGAATAAAGGGAAAGTAATCGAATAGTCAAAATAATTTAATTTTTTTTTTTTTTTTTTTTTTTTGTCAATACATAGATTGGGAGGTTCTCCCCTTTCTCCACAAAATCTCGAATATTGAAACTGTTACACTCGAATGTTGAAATCGAATGTTGAATGATGAATCTCGAATGTTGAAACTGTTGTTGCTTGTTTTGCAGCAAACTGTTACAGTTCGCTGCAAAACAAGCAACAGACTTTTTTTTTTTTTTGGTCACATTCCAATCTGGATTGAATAGGACTAAAAGTTCTGCAGTCTACCAACCCAAGCGAAGAATGATTATTCCGGAAATGTAACGCCGTCTGTTGAAAATTAGAATGAAAAACACCCCAGTTATTTAGTTCTTTATTCTCCCAATACCGGCAGCTGTTGATTCCGATTGCATAATATCACATAGGGAAGAATTACGGCACACGTATTGCGCAATAACGTTTGCGATATTTTGCAGAGATAATTAATTTTTATGTTCTGTCCCAGATTTGTTTATGAAAACTTAAAATAGTTTTACTGTGCTTGCTAAGCACAATATTTTTCAGTTCCATTGGTTTATTTTTATATGATGCACATATCGAAATGTCAAAAGTATTTATTTAGCGGAAAAATCTAAAGAGCGGCTACTGTGAACCCCCCTCCTCTTTTTCAAGTTATGCTCGACTGTCCGAATATTCGCCACTTTCCAAGTATGCGGGTTAGTTAAGCTTTTACTGTTAAAGGATGACTGCATGAAGCAAATTTCTGTCTTCTGATTTCAGAAATGTTCCTCTTTTTTACTAAAATTACTTTGCTTGCAATATCTGTTAAGGGAAAACTGATATACAATGAAAATTTAGAAAATGTTCAGAACTTAGATTTAAATTATTTAAATATATGAGTAGGAAAATAAATTGTATTTATTATTAGGTTCCAAGCGAACACAATAAATATGCCTTATTAATATTTATTTTCTCTATTTTGAACTGAAATTTCATCATTAAATCTTGTGATATAGTTTACTTCTGCGTAGTTTTTTTTTTTTTTTTTTTCCCTCTCAGTGTAAACTAGTTCTGTAAATTGAACTGTTATTTAAAATTTAAAAAAAAAGTAATTATTTTCCATGGTTGAGGTAATGCTTATTCTCTCTTAATAAATACTGCATTTCTCATATTTTAAATTACAAGTGTAATTTTTAAGGTTATGCAGTTGTGTATAATGTGCAGACAGGTGCTTATTTTTTTTTCTTAAAATGTGCTTGAAAAATGCTTATAGGTGCTTATTTGTTTTAACTAAAATGTGGCTATGAACCCTGTACTAGCTATAGCGCCTTCATTTCTAAAGTAATATGAATAAAAGAATTTTTAGTTTCCTAGTACATTCATGAACAAATCTTGTACATTAATTTTAATCATAATACACAGTTCAGTCATTAATTTCCAGGACTGATGTAACTGTATGAAAACCATAAATCATCAGAACACAGTATTGCTTCTTTTTAAAACATCGTTTATCTGTGCATGTCAAATGAAGTTGGCACCAATCGGGAACAAGTGGTTATCTTTGAAACGCGTTAAAATGCAGCAGTGAAATTTTTGTTCTCAAAGTTGATATGAACAAGAGAATTAATATTAAATTGTGCTTCAGATTGGGCAAAACTGCCATAGAAATCCATGGAATGTTGAAACAAATGTACAGAGAGAATGCAATATCCCATTCACACACATTTGGATGATTATCTGTTTTGGGGATAGCCACAAAAGTGTCAAAGATGAAATGCACACTTGGATGACTGCATTCCATGCGCATGCCATAAACAGAGAAAGCTCATGAGCTTATGACTTCAGATCGCCAATTAACTGTTCAAATATTCACCAATGAACTAAACATTTCCAAAGATGTGGTTCGGTATATTTTGACAAAAGACCTAGGAAAACATAAGGTTTGTTCCAGATTTGTTCCTCGCTGTTGATCGTAGGAATAAAAGCAATTCAGAATGGACTTGTGGTGAAATCATCGACAACGCTGATGCTGCCTCCGTGTTCCTTGATTTGATAGTAACAAGTGACAAATTTTGGTGCTACCAGTATGACCCTGAAAACGAACAACATAGCTCCAAATAGCAGCTTCGAAGGTCACCATAACCGAAAAAAATTTGATTCCAAAAGTCCAAAAATCACAATAATGTAATTGCTGTGTTTGATTACAAAGGACTAATTCACCTTAAATTTGTTTCCCCTGACGACTGGACAGTGGGCAGTTTTATGCAGAAATTCTTGCCAGACTTCAACAAAGAGTTTGCAGAATAAGGCCTCATTTTCAACAGAATTTGAATTGGCAGCTTTTGCATAAGAATGCTCGGCCTCTCATTGCATTACCTGTGAAGTATTTTTGTCCCAATATGAGGTGTCATGCATTCAATATGACATTCCACATCCTCCATACACTCTGCAGTTAGCACTGGAGACTTTTTCTTATTTCCAAAATTGAAAAACTTGCTGATGGGAACAAGATTTGAGTAAGTTGAAGCGATCAAGAAAATAGTTGTAGAGTCACTATATTATTTTGAAGCTGGAGTTATGAAAAATGTGCAATGCTGTCACCGGGACCCAAACCTGGACCTCTCAAATATGCACTGGGTGTGCTACCATTACAGCACGAAGGCATGCTTAGTTAGTTATTAGATCAGTCCTAGAAATTAATGGCCACACCTTGTAGTATTGCCAACACTCGGGAACAATTCGTAGCACAATTTCTGTGGAACTTAATTTTTGAGCTGTTTTAGAGTTAAAATAGGCATGCTGATTTCAAAACTGTAGTTAGTTTCTTTCTACCATGCCAAGTTTTTTTTCTCTACAACTTATATGAATGTGACCATTCTCCATGGCATCGAGCTTGAATCGTAGGAAGTACTGTTGCTTTCCTGTTGGCTGACATAAACCCTCCAATTGGTGCTGGGTGAATGATGCCATAGGAGACCAGCAACAGGTGCATACTTGTCTAGACTAGTTCAGTATGCCTGAGATACTGTAGTGAGACGTTGTGTGAAAATTGGTGATCGAGGTAAATCATGGGCCCCTCACAAATTGTGCGAGCAGTGTTTTGATATTTAATAGATGCGGATAAAGGGAACACATTCTAAATTTCTGTTTGTTATATTTATGATTTGGCGAGAGCCCTGAGATCACACAAATGATTGTTACTTTTGTATAGTAAAAATGTTAGGATGTAACAAAAAAAAATTTTTTTTAAATGGAGTATCCTCTTTTACCATCAGCTATACATGCAGTGCCAGTTTTTAAAGAATTACCCTCTTTGGAAGCACAGGAATATTATTCTGGTGAATATCGAATAGACCCCCAATGATGAAGATTTTTAAACTGAAGAGGATTTCATTCATAAGGGATTTGACCAGTATGAATTGAATGATTTGGCCTGAGATTTGGGACTATCCAAAAAAGCTTTAGAGCTGTTAGCATCAAGACTGCATGAGAAAAATTTGCTCAAAAGGGAGCTAAGCTATCCTATTTTCAATCACGAGAAAGTGCATTTTTGCAATACTTTCTCTAAATGATGATGGATTTGGGCATTGCCATAATGTACATGATTTTGAAGAGTTGGAAATTACAGCATGTGATGCCACTCAATGGTGATTATTCATTAATAGCTTAAAGCAGATCTTTAAATGTGTCCTCCTCCACAATGAAAATTTATTTTATGCTCTCTCAACAGGCCAGTTTGTGTGAAGAGTATGAAGACGTAATTGTTGATTATTTGAAGTATCACATAGACCATCTGTGTTGACCTTAAAATGGTCTGCTTTCGCCTTAGCCAGCAACATGGATATACCAAGCATTCCTATAATATGTGGGACAGCAGAATTTGTGAGAAACATTGGGTGCAGGCGTACTAGCTGCCAAGATCTGACCTGAAATATGGTAACTCAAACATTCTACATCAGCAACTTGTTGAGTGAAAGAACATTATACCTCTGTAGTATAAAACTGGGTCTTATGAAGCAATTGGTTAAAGCTTTGCTAATTGGAGGATACTATTTCAAGTATTGCATTTTAACATTTCCTATCCTGCCATTTGAAAAGGTAAAGGCTGGTGTGTTTGATAATCCATAGATATTTTACAGCTACTTAAAGATGAACATTTCATCAGAACAATGATAGAATTTCAAAGGAATTCTTGGTTGGCATTCAAAAATATTGTCAAAGATTTTCTTCGAAATACACAAGCGCAGAATTACAGCGAAATTG